TAACACTTAAGTAAATAAGAATAAATTCTAAAAGAAAATTATAGCAACTATATGAAGAAAACAAATTACTGACTCACATACAATAAAAAGATGTAAATTTAGAAAACATAATTTAAGATATATATATTCTCATAAAACTTAACTATGAAAACTATATCAGGTTTCTTTTCAAGAAATACACAGTTTTAAAATTCATTTTGAAAGATAAACGCTCTAGAATTCTCATATTTCAAAGAAATAATATAATAATAAAGTATGAGCTGTTCTTACAGATACAAAGCCCTGTTAGGATTTTCTGGTCTTGTATACTTTCAGCACATTGATTGTCACCCTTAAACTGTACTTCTAGGGGCCAGATTCACACTTTCCTATAAGAGTGGTCTAACTAACACCATGATCCATTTTGCAGAGGTATTATTTTTTATCAACTCTGGCAGTACCAACATCTTTGTACAGTTGTGTTGGTGCAATTATTAGGATAATTTATTTGCCTTCTTGCACTATTTTTAAAAACCTAATGAAGAACAAAAATTTATATCTCAAAAACTTAACCTTGTTTAGATGATGATGAATATCACTGGATTTGGAAAAAAGTGATCTTTGACCTTGGTCTTACACCCAGAAGATTGAGCTTGATGTACCATTTTTAATAAAGATTAAAATTCAAGAACAGATTTCTGGAATGGAACGTTGCATATATATACTGAACCCTTTAAGTTAGAGTGAAGCTGTGTCTGGTACCTCTCTCACTTCTTATGTCTTTTCACTTGCTTATCTTCTTCATTACCATATAACCTCACTGAGGGTAGGGACTTTATTTATTCCATACTCCTAGAACAATGCCAGACACATGATATGTACCTACTTAATACATGCAGGGGAAGGGGAAGAAGAACCTACTTCTTATGTATCTCACATGGCACCGTGGGAGGCTAGGAAACTGGTGATGGTGTGAAGATGCAGTCGGAAGGGAGAGGCTAATGTGTGGGCAAGAAGAAGGTGTGTTGAAGTCCTGGGCTGTGCAAGTGGACATTTCAGCTCTTTCTGTCTCATTTCCTTTCCCAAGATAAAGGTCAGAAAAGCAGTGCCTACAGAAAAACCCACAAATTGGTCAAGGGACTACTCACTAGCATAGAGCATCACAATTTGAAGGCAATGACTAGAACCAGTTCTGGAGCTGTTGTAACAAAGTACAAAATCCAGTATCCATTGCTGTGAACACTGGTAGTGGCTACACTTAAGCACCAGGGGAGCATACCCTGCCCATGGAGCACATCTCAGCACCCAACAGCTGTGGTCTCGTGATTCCTGCTGTCAGTGTACTTTTGTGAGTTCACCCTCGAGTTCTGCGAATACTGGGAAAGGGTAAGAAGAGAAAGCCAGCACTTTACCTGGCTGAAGGAGTGGAGTGCAGAAAGTTTTAGTTTTTTCTGTTTTTATGAACCCATTGTACCTCCCAACTCCTCTAAGCTGGGAAAACACCTGTTATGCCTCCCTTGAGCTGGCCAATTTTTTTCTGCTTTACAAGTGGAAATACAATTCCCTTTAGGCTTCAGAGTCTACATTTATAGGGAAATTTCCTGCTTGTTTTTCTCTTCTCAGTTTCCAATTCAAAATGTCTCAGCAGTTTTTCTGTAAGCACGCTGTATATAAATGAATGTGTAGGAGCCTTCACTACATATTAGAGTCCAGGATATTGTGATACACATCTGGGAAGGATGTAGAGGAAATCCTCTAGGGTGAAGGCAAGAGCAGGCTAAGGCAGGCTCTGAAGATTAAGAGCTGCAAGTATGTCATTATCACACTCTGGCTGACCCTGCTGAGCCCCATTCAAAAACTGAATATACATTTAAATTGGTAGAAAGGCTTTCCTACTACGAAGAGATTTCAGACTGGAGGGGTGCAGTTTCTGACTGGGCTTGTTTATCTTGTTATACATCAGCAGGATGGCTGCAACAGTTCTTCCTCCTGTCCCACCATTCTTGTTAACAATTTGAGGGGAAGCATCTTTATATGATCTCCTTTTAAAATGTTAGTATAATAAGCCAATGAAAAGAAATTGATTTATAGAATATTAAAGTGGAATGAAAACTACAGTATTTAAAATTTTTATTTTTATACTATGTGGTATAACACTTTACAAGTAATTCTGGTAATTTCAAAAAGGAAGGAAAATTATTGCTACCCTGTCACCTGTATCCAACTTTTCTTGGTGAATTTTATTACGTGGTTATCCTCTATTGATTTTTTTAATTATAAATGTAAGCATAATTTCTATATAACTATGTTGTTGAGTTTTAAGAGTTCTTTGCATATTTTGGGTAACAGTCCTTCACCAGAAGTGTCTTTTGAAAATATGTTCTCCCAGTTTGTGGCTTGTCTTCTCGTTCTCTTGATACTGTCTTTCCCAGAGCAGAAATTTCAATTGTAATGAAGCTGAGCCTCTCAATTATTTCTTTCATGGATTATGTCTTTAGTGTTATATCTAAAAAGGCATCACCATACCCAAGGTCATCTAGGTTTTCTCCTATACTATCGTCTAGGGGTTTTATTGTTTACATTTAGGTCTATGATCCAATTTGGGTCATTTTTATGAAGGGTGTATGTCTGTCTAGATTCATTTTTTTGTATGTGGATGTCCAGTTAGTCCAGCACTATTTGTTGAAGAGACCATCTTTGCTCCATTGCATTGTCTTTGCTCCTTTGGTCAAAGATCAGTTGACTGAATTTATGGGGGGTCTGTTTCTGGGATCTCTATTCTGTTCCATTGGTCTGTCTTTCCTTTCCCCAGTACCACACTGTCTTCATTGCTGTAGCTATACAATAAGTCTTGAAGTCAGGCAGTGGAACTGCCTCCAGTACCTTATTCAGTAGGGTGGCCCTGGGACAATGGTCTGCTTCTGGGTCCACAGTTAGGTACTCAGTTGGCCCACAGTGTGTCTATTACCAGGTGGGTGGCTGGTGTGGCTCCCGCCAAGTCTCAGTGAGGTTCTGCCACATCATTGAATGGGTCTCTGGGTGAGCAAAACTGATCCTGGACCATGGCTGAGAGGAGATAGAATCAAGCCCCCAGGGATGTTTCAAGTTCCATAGACACATTTGAAGTCTGCAGGCCTGGTTTTAGAGGCATAGATGGTTGTGTCTCCGGCCAGATCCCAAAGGAGGCTAGACTGGTCCATGACCATGGCTGGAGGGGTTGGAACTGAGTATAGAGGGGTGTGTGTGTGTGTGTGTGTGTGTGTGTGTGTGTGTGTGTGTGTGTGTGTAATGTATGTATATATCTGATATCTACATAAGCATACATAATCTAATATACTGTTGGTATTATTTTAAATAAACTGTTATCAGTTAGATCATTAATAAGAAGAAAAATAAAAGTTTTTTATTTTATCTTATTTCTTCTTCAGTACTCTTCCATTCTTTGTGTAGATACAAATTTCTGACCTATATTATCTACCTTCTTTCTAAAGAACTTCCTTTAATAGGTCTTGCAAAACAGGTCTACTGGCAACAAATTCCCTCACTTTTTGTTTTTCTGAGAAAGTCTTTATTTTTCCTTCACTTTTTAAGGGTAATTTTGTGGGGTATAGAATTCTAGGTTGGTGAGTTTTCTCTTTGAACATTTTAAATATTTCCCTCACCTCTCTTCTTGATTGAATGGTTTCTGAGGAGAAGTCAGATATAATTCTTATCTTCCTTTATAGGAAGGTGTTTTTTCCCTCTGCCTTCCTTGAGAGTTTTCCTTTTATCTTTGATTTTCTGTAGTTTGAAAACTGTATGCCTAGGTATAGATTTTTGGGGGCATATTTCTTGCTTAGTTCTCTGAGCTTCCTGGATTTGTGGTTTGGTACCTGGCATTAACTTGATAAAATTCTTAGTCATTATTGTTTCAAATATTTTTTCTCTTCTTTTCTCTTTCTTCTCCTTCTGTTATTTCCATTATGTATAAATTATACCTTTTGTAGTTGTCCCACAGTCCTTGAATAGTCAGTCTTTGTTCTCATTGCTTTTCACTTTTTGAGTATACCTCTAGTTCAGAGAGTCTTTCCTCAGCTATGTCTAGTCTACTAATAAGACCATCAAAAGAATTCTTCATTTTTATTACAGTGTTTATTTATCTTTAGCATTTCTTTTTATTTCTTTCTCAGGATTTCCATCTCTCTGCTTACATGTCTATCTGTCTATTGCAGGCCATCTGTTTTATCCATTATAGCCCTTAGTATATTAATCCTAGTTGTTTTAAATTCCTAATCTGATAATTCCACTGTCCCTGCCATGTCTGGTTCTAATGCTTGCTCTGTCCCTTCAAACTGTGGTTTTGGCTTTTGGTATGCCTTGTAATTTTTTCTTGATAGCCAGACATGTTGTGTTGTACCAGCTAAAAAGAACTGTTATAAATAGGCCTTTATTAATGTGGTGGCAAGTTACGCGGGGAGGGGAAGTGTTCTACAGTCCTGTGATTAGGTCTCGGTCTTTTAGTGGGCCTATGCCTCTAGACTGAATTTCACAAGTGATTCTCAGGTTACTTTTCCCACTTTAAATGGGGCAGGATAGCTAGATTGGGTTGGAGTTGGGTATTGCCTTTCCTAGGGTCAGTTAGAGTCTGATTCCCTAGCATTTTAGGTTCTGGTTAACTAGTTTCCCCCAAGGGTAGACTTTCTTAAGAATAACAGTGTTCTCTGGTGTATTTCAAAATGGTCCCTTTTCTCCTCATTCTGCACAGTAGTTTGACCTGTGACTCCCCTCTCTTATGGATCCAAGAAGAGTCGACTTTTCAGTCTGTTAAGCTTTTTACTTGTTATTAAGATGGAGTGGTGACTTCCAACCTCCTTACATGTGGAAGGAAACTAGAAGTCCTATTTATAACTTTGTACTTTTTTCTAAACTAATTTCTTCTAGTAAATATTGATCTATATTTCTTGAAATGCACCATCTTTGGAGCTTGTTGTGGAAAAGAGGTAGTAGAGATTTAGTCCACTCCTGTTCTTTTACAGATGAAGAAAATGGGGACCCTCAAAGAGCAGTGACATGCCCAAGTTCCTGCAGCCAGTGACCATTCAAGGCTGAAGCACACTGAGGGTTCTTCTCATCCAGGTAACTTTCTCTGCAACAAATAGGAGGGGAGTGAGTGAGTGTAGGTGGGTTAGTGGCTCCAACAAGCCTTTCCTGACTCACAGTGTGTCTAAATGAGGTGTGCAAAAGGCAAGAACAGTGACCACATGTTGCAAACCCTGAAGGTACTGAGAGAAATCCAGTTGATGGATTGAATTTTTAAAAAATACAATTTCAAGAAAATGACTACTCCATATTCACAGGCCAGATCAAAGGTGAGTTTTTAAGGGAATCCCTACTGAGCAGAGTACTTTTCTCCTTCATTTGCATTCCTATATCGTTTTGTTTTAAGTACATTTGACATTTACCACATTTTATTTTAATTTCCTGTTCAAACGTCTTCCTCCAGGGAGTATATTAAGCAGAGCACCATTTATTATTACTTTTTCTAGTCCTAATATTTAACTCTGGTACATGATAGTTGATCAATATATATTTGGTGAATTGATTGCTACGTATTATCATCATAGGTAGCTTTAAGCACGTAGGTTTTCTCAATTTTTGCAAAAGCGTGAATTGATTGAAATTCTTCCAAAACAACCATTTAATAAATGTTTATTCAATATTGGCTCCTACTTATGCGCTGTGTTAAGAATAAAGATAGAAAGATGAACCAATGCTGTCATCCTTGTCTTCAATGGACTTTCATCTTAATGGGGCATACAGAAAAAGCATCAATAAACACAGTATGCTAAAACTATAATAGAGAAGTACATAGACACAGGACAGGCACCTCCTACACATAGGAACTCTCCCAATAAGCTTCCAAGAAAATAATAAAATTTGAGGTGGGCCTTGGCAGACAGATACAAATTTAACCATGTGCACATGCTAGGAAAGGGTCTTCCATTCAGGGAAAAAAAGTGTATTCTAAAGGGACGGATGTTAATGTGGGTGGCAAGGGGATGGGACAATGATAGAGTGGTTGGAACAAAAGTTAGTCTGGGAAGTGAGGGTTAATAGATGAGTAGATGAACTCTTGCCACAGTGTGGAATGGGGTAGCAGGAAGTGGACATAAGCTTTCAGGTTATTGGTAGGAGTGTTGATTTTTGACCCCTAAAATTAGTTGTGAACTTTTCCTTTCCCAGATGTTTTCCTACATTAATCTACTACCATTTCAACACATATATGAGATTCTTACCTACTCAGTTAATCTTGGTGGAAAGCAGCCAGAATTATTAGTTTTTCACTTCTTGTGACCCACTTAGCCAAATACCTTGAACACATTCACTTCTCCCTGTCTCTGAAGTCACTTCCCAAGTCCAATTACTGTGTCTCTAACCTAATCTACATTGTTATCATCCTTTCTCCCTATTTCCATTCTTCTTGTCCTTTAATAAAATTCCTACACAAAAACCACAGTCAAATCTCTTATAAATGTCAAATGAAAAGTGTTTCCTCTACCACTTTGACTCTTTATAATATCTTAATTCATGTAGAATAAAACTCATCCTCATTTAAATCTATAATCTTGCATGCTGTGGCTCATGCTTAATTTCGTGACACTGTTCCCCAAGTTTATCATGCTGCAGTCACAGGGACCTGGTTTCAGTTTTCCCACATGCGTTTATCCCTGTCTTTCCGTATTCTTCATAAGACCAGCTCCTTTTTATCCTACAAGTCTCATTTAAATCTCATACTCTCGGAGTCTTCTTCAAACATGTTATATAAAACAGATTGCTTTGATTTATTTTTAAACTTATTTATTTATCCTCACTTGTTGTAAACTAAAATACAGATGCAGAAAACTGCTATAGAATGCATGTACAGTTATTTGATTATTATGAGGCTAACATCTTTATTAGCACTTGACCAATCAGGTAAAAATATATTGTCAGCCATACCAGAAGCCCCTCAAAATGCCTTGTTCTCAGCAATACCTCTCATATTCCCCATAAACAAATATTCTCCTAAGTTTTAGTAATCACTTCCTTGCATTGCTTTAGTTTCATCATACAAGGGTACCTCCCTAAATCTTATGCTTTGGCCTCATCCATTTGTCTCTGTTTTGTTTTGTTTTGATATATCTTTCCAATGGATTTTGATTTATAGGTTTTACTTCTGTCATTTTTTCCTTATGTTTTATTTTTTAATTGAAGTGTAATTTACATAAAATAAAACACACAGATTGTAAATGTACATTTCAATAAGTTGTTTCAAATCTATGCATCCCTGTAACCACCAGTTCATCATCTCAAAAAGTTCCCTCATCCCTTTTTTCTGTCAATTCCATCTCCCAGAGGCAACCATTGTTCTGATCTTTATCACCATAGTTTTTCCTTGTTCTTGAATGTCATATAAAGGGAATTATGCAGTGTGTACTCTTAAGTTTCAAAGTTCTTTCACTCAACATAACGCTGTTTCATGTATTAGTCATTTGTTTTCTTTCATGGCTAAATAGTATTCCATTCTATAAACATACTATATTATTTTTAATCCATTCTCTTGTTCATGGACACATCAAAATATTTCAGCTTTGAGAAGATATCAATAAAATGTGGACATTCTTATATACGTCTTTTCATGAATGTGTTTTCTTTTGGGGAAATTCCTAAAAGTTAAATTGTTGGATTGTATAGTAAGCATACGTTAAACTTTATAAGAAACGAACTGTATTTCAAAACGTTTGTACCATTTTACATTCCAACCAGTAATCCATGAGCATATCAGTTGCTTCACAAATTTGCCAACAATTGGAATGGAATAGCCATTGTAGTGGGTGTGTGTAGTATCACACTGTGGTTTGTTTTACATTTATTTGATTACTAATTCTCTGAACATCTTACCATGTGCCTTTTGGAGAACATTATTTGTGAAGTGTCTGTTCAGGGTTTCCCCTATTTTAATCAGATACTGGATTATTTTGTCTATTCTTATGTTACAGAAGTGCTTTATACACAGACACATACATGTTCACACACAGACACACAGGCCTCACAAGCATACACATCTGTCAGCCGTTATGATGGTGGATGTATGTATTGAGAATATTTTCTCCAAGTCTGTGCCTTGTCTTTTTATTTTCTTACTGGTGTCTTTTGAAGAGACTATTTAATTTTAATGATGTTTAATTCATTGACTTTTTATTTGATGTTTAGTACTTTTTGTACTAAACATCCAAGAAATTGTTACCCACTCCGGGTTCACAAAAATATTCACCAATGTTTTTATCTGGAATTTTCATTGTTTCAGCTTTTATGTTTATTTATATTGTAAGTCTCACATGAATTATTGTGTATAGTATGATGTACAGGTCAATTTACTTTCATACGAATGTCTAGTAGTTTCAGTGCCATTAAAAAAACCCCAAACTATCCTTTGCTCATTGAACTACTTTGGAAGCTTTGTCAAAAAATATCAATTGACCTTATATGTGCAAATTTATTTCTGTAATGTGTTAGCCTATGTTTTTTTAACCCTTAACCCAATATACTCTGTGTTGAGCCCTCTAAGTTTCTTCTTTTCCAAATCTTTTTTCACTTTGCTAAGGCCTTTGAATTTCCATGTAAATTTTAGAGTTATCTTGTCAATTTAATAAAAGCCTGCTGGAGTTCTGATTGGAATTGTCTTGAATTTTAGATCACTATTTCTCAATCTTTTAAAAAATTGTTTCACCCTTCCCCCCACAACTTCAAGGAGAAAAAGTAAATTCTATTTAAATCCTCTCAAGCAAGCTACATTAAATAATAAAGAATAACATTCTATCAGGTAGGGTTGAGCCTTGGAAAATGACAAGCCATTGTAATATCTGAGGATTTTCTTGAACAAATTTTCATCCTTTCTAAGGGGTGATGTTGTCCCTGCTGAGAACATATGCTTTAGATCAATGTGGGGAGAACCTTAACAATGTTTAGTCTTCCATTCTATGAGCTTGCTATCTCTTTCCATTTATTTAGGTCCTCTTTAATTTCTCTGGCAATGTTTTCTAGTTTTCATTGTACAGCTATTTCACCTTTTTTGGTTAAATTAATTTCTAAACAAGAATTTTTGTTTCCTTGTGCCTTCAAAAAGTAGTATTTTCATTGTATTTTTAATCATCTATTGTTAATATATAGAAATACCATTAATCTTACTACATTCCATGGTAACTTCTGTCATTTCAGTAGTAATTCTGGTAATAGAATTTAGTCCTTTTTGACAGATCCCTCCCTTAGGATTTTAAACCTAAACCATCAAGCGGTCAGCAAATAAAGGCAACATCCTTGTGCTTTATTTCTGTTTTCTTCTAGTAACACCTTCCTGAGGGGAGGTTTATAAAAATTTAAGTGAGGAAATACCTTATAAAGTGAAAAGTAATAGGTGTAAGTATTTTTGTTATTTTTCCTTTTCAGTCTCCTCTCAATATCAACTAGCACCAACTGCAATCAGCCAGTGTGCCCATTCTTGTCTTTTTCCTCTCTTGGAGCAGTGTGTCTGCCAGAATGGATGGACTGATTTCCTGGATGAACAAAGGTAGGATCACAAAGCTTTACCTTCATTAGAGGGCAGCTGAGAAAAGGGGAGCCTTCCCAGCTGGCCTCCAAAAGAGAATACAACAGCAGGATTTGGCCAATTACTACAAGTTTGTATAAAACAGTGTTTTCTTTCAGGCTACCTCCCTGTAGTGTAAGCCTACTATTGTGGTTCATAGCCAGTTTCTCTCGGTGCTGGCTGACTTTGATATCCCAGGAGGCATGTGAGAAACTGCAGTCCTGGCTGAATTAAGGTCAGGAGAAATGAAAAAATGCAATTACAGTGGAGACACGTTCTATTCTATCATCTTGTTTTTGTGTATGGCTATGTTCGCTTCAGTATTGTGCAAACTTGATAATTAGTTCCTTGAAGATTTCTGGTACTGTCTTGAATTAAATTGAGGAAAACGCTTTCATCAAACATAGTCAGATCTGGATATAGAGGAGCAAATATGTAATACAATGGGAATAAAGAAAAACAGAGGTAAATGCACATGAGACTGGAAATAGAATGGACTTGTAAAAGAGAGTATAAAAAAGGAAAAAAAGAACTGAAAGGAAGTTCCAAAACATATCTTGAAAATCTACCACATAGCATATATTTTATATATTTTTCTTGCCTTTTCATAAGCTTTTTTTTTCTTATTGTTGAGTTGTAAGAGTTCTTTACAGACATACTTCATGTTATTGTGCTTTACAGATAGTGCATTTTTTACAAATTGCAAGTCTGTGGCAATTCTGCATTGAACAAATCTGTCAGTGCCATTTTTCCAACAACATTTACCCACTTCATACCCGCCTGTCACATTTCGGTTATTTCTCACAGTATTTCAGACTTTTTCATTATTGTTATGTTTATTAAGGTGATACGTGATCATTGATCTTTGATGATACTACCATAACTCACTGAAGGCTCAATGATGGTTAGCAGTTTTTAGCAATAAAGTATTTTTTTTAGTTTCTTTTTTTAACATCTTTTTTTAATGTAATTTAATTTATTTTTTTATACAGCAGGTTCTTATTAGTCATCAGTTTTATACACATCAGTGTATACATGTCAGTCCCAGTCGCCCAATTCATCACACCACAACCACCACCACCACCACCACCCCCGCCACTTTCCCCCTTTGCTGTCCATACGTTTGTTCTCTACATCTGTCTCAATTTCTGCCCTGCAAAGCGGTTCATATGTACCATTTTTCTAGGTTCCACATATATGTGTTAATATACGATATTTGTTTTTCTCTTTCTGACTTACTTCACTCTGTATTGACAGTCTCTAGATCCATCTACGTCTCAACAAATGACCCAATTTTGTTCCTTTTTATGGCTGAGTAATATTCCATTGTGTATATGTACCAACCGTCCTTATCCATTTGTCTGTCGATAGGCATTTAGGTTGCTTCCCTGACCTGGCTATTGTAAGTAGTGCTGCAGTGAACATTGGGGTGCATGTGTCTTTTTTTCTTTTAAGTAGAAACTTTCATTTATTTTCCAGACATATAGCATTCTTTAAACTTTTTTTGTGCAAACTACTTATACTAGAAAATGAATCACAGAGATATAATGTACAACACAGGGATATAGTCAATAATATAATAATTTGGTGTGATGTGTAATCTAGAAAAATATTGAATCACTATGTAATACACCTGAAACTAGTATTATACTGTAAGTCAACTATGCTTCAATTAAAAAAATTAAATTTCTCTTGTAAAACGTAACATAGATAAATAAAAATGAACAAACCTTGAAGTGGAGGTGGATTTAATCTCAAACCAACATTAAGTACCACCACTTAAATCAAGAAATACAAAATTGCCAAACTCTGTAATCTCCCCCTGTGCTCCCTCTTCCTTACTACTCCTCTCTGTTCCAAAGTTAAAAAATATCATGACTTTTATTGTCACTACATCTATGCTATTCTGTAGTGTTTGCCACCCATGCATGAATTTTCACATATTATAGTATTGTCCTGCCTGTTTGTGAACTTCATATAAATAGAATAATCCAATACAAATTCTCTTGTGCTGACTTCTTTTTTTTTTTTTTTATATCTTTATTGGAGTATAATTGCTTTAAAATGGTGCGTTAGTTTCTGTTTTATAACAAAGTGAATCAGTTATACATATACATATGTTCCCATATCTCTTCCCTCTTGCGTCTCCCACCCTCCCACCCTCCCTATTCAACCCCTCTCGGTGGTCACAAAGCACCGAGCTGATCTCCCTGTGCTATGTGGCTGCTTCCCACTAGCTATCTATTTTATGTTAGGTAGTGTATATATGGCCATGCCACTCTCTCACTTTGTCACAGCTTACCATTCCCCCTCCCCATATCCTCAAGTCCATTCTCTAGTAGGTCTGTGTCTTTATTCCTGTCTTACCAATAGGTTCTTAATGATATTTTTTTTCTTAAATTCCATATGTATGTGTTAGCATACAGTATTTGTCTTTCTCTTTCTGACTTACTTCACTCTGTACATCAGACTCTAGGTCCATGCACTTCATTATAAATAGCTCAATTTCGTTTCTTTTTATGGCTGAGTAATATTCCATTGTATATATGTGCCACATCTTCTTTATCCATTCATCTGTCGTTGGACACTTAGGTTGCTTGCATGTCCTGGCTATTGTAAATAGTGGTGCAATGAACATTGTGGTACATGACTCTTTTTGAATTATGGTTTTCTCAGGGTATATGCCCAGTAGTGGGATTGCTGGGTCATATGGTAGTTCTATTTGTAGTTTTTTAAGGAAACTCCATACTGTTCTCCATAGTGGCTGTACCAATTCACATTCCCACCAGCAGTGCAGCAGGGTTCCCTTTTCTCCACACTCTCTCCAGCATTTATTGTTTCTAGATTTTTTGATGATGGCCATTCTGACTGGTGTGAGATGATATCTCATTGCAGTTTTGATTTGCATTTCTCTAATAGTTAATGATGTTGAGCATTCTTTCATGTATTTGATGGCAGTCTGTATATCTTCTTTGGAGAAATGTCTATTTAGGTCTTCTGCCCATTTCTGGATTGGGTTGCTTGGTTTTTTTGTTATTGAGCTGCATGAGCTGCTTGTAAATTTTGGAGATTAATCATTTGTCAGTTGCCTCATTTGCAAATATTTTCTCCCATTCTGAGGGTTGTCTTTTGGTCTTGTTTATGGTTTCCTTTGCTGTGCAAAAGCTTTGAAGTTTCACTAGGTCCCATTTGTTTATTTTTGTTTTTATTTCCATTTCTCTAGGAGGTGGGTCAAAAAGGATTTTGCTGTGATTTATGTCATAGAGTGTTCTCCCTATGTTTTCTTCTAAGAGTTTGATAGTTTCTGGCCTTACATTTAGGTCTTTAATCCATTTTGAGCTTATTTTTGTGTATGGTGTTAGGGAGTGATCTAATCTCATACTTTTACATGTACCTGTCCAGTTTTCCCAGCACCACTCATTGAAGAGGCTGTCCTTTCTCCACTGTATATTCCTGCCTCCTTTATCAAAGATTAGGTGACCATATGTGCGTGGGTTTATCTCTGGGCTTTCTATCCTGTTCCATTGATCTATCTTTCTGTTTTTGTGCTAGTACCATACTGTCTTGATTACTGTAGCTTTGTAGTATAGTCTGAAGTCAGGGCGCCTGATTCCTCCAGCTCCGTATTTCATTCTCAAGATTGCTTTGGCTATTCAGGGTCTTTTGTGTTTCCATACAAATTGTGAAATTTTTTGTTCTAGTTCTGTGAAAAATGCCCGTGGTAGTTTGATAGGGATTGCATTGAATCTGTAGATTGCTTTGGGTAGTATAGTCATTTTTACAATGTTGATTCTTCCAATCCAAGAACATGATATATCTCTCCATTTGTTTGTGTCATCATTAATTTCTTTCATCAGTGTCTTACACTTTTCTGCATACAGGTTTTTGGTCTCCTTAGGTAGGTTTATTCTTAGGTATTTTTTCTTTTCGTTGCAGTGGTAAATTGTAGTGTTTCCTTAATTTCTCTGTCAGATTTTTCATCGTTAGTATACAGGAATGCCAGAGATTTCTGTGCATTAATTTTGTATCCTGCTACTTTACCAAATTCATTGATTAGCTCTAGTAGTTTTCTGGTAGCACCTTTAGGATTCTCTATGTATAGTGTCATGTCATCTGCAAACAGTGACAGCTTTACTTCTTCTATTCAAATTTGGATTCCTTTTATTTCCTTTTCTTCTCTGATTGCTGTGGCTAAAACTTCCAAAACTATGTTGAATAAGAGTGGTGAGAGTGGGCAACCTTGTCTTGTTCCTGATCTTAGTGGAAATGCTTTTAGTTTTCACCATGGAAGACGATGTTGGCTGTGGGTTTGTCATATATGTCCTTTATTATGTTGAGGAAAGTTCCCTCTATGCCTACTTTTTGGAGGGTTTTTATCATAAATGGGTGTTGAATTTTGTCGAAAGCTTTCTCTGCATCTATTGAGATGACCATATGGTTTTTCTCCTTCTATTTGTTAATATGGTGTATCACATTGATTGATTTGTGTATATTGAAGAATCCTTGCATTCCTGGAATAAACCCCACTTGATCATGGTGTATGATCCGTTTAGTGTGCTGTTGGATTCTGTTTGCTAGTATTTTGTTGAGGATTTTTGCCTCTATGTTCATCAGTGATATTGGCCTGTAGTTTTCTTTCTTTGTGACATCCTTGTCTGGTTTTGGTATCAGGGTGATGGTGGACTCATAGAATGAGTTTGGGAGTGTTCCTCCCTCTGCTATATTTTGGAAGAGTTTGAGAAGGATAGGTGTTAGCTCTTCTCTAAATGTTTGATAGAATTCGCCTGTGAAGCCATCTGGTCCTGGGCTTTTCTTTGTTGGAAGATTTTTAATCACAGTTTCAATTTCAGTGCTTGTAATTGGTCTGTTCATATTTTCTTTTTCTTCCTGATTCAGTCTTGGTATGTTGTGCATTTCTAAGAATTTGTCCATTTCTTCCAGGTTGTCCATTTTATTGGCATAGAGTTGCTTGTAGTAACCTC